TCTCCCGTTGCGGAGCACAGGCTCCGATGCGCAGGCTCAGCGGCCATGGCTCACGGGCCCAGCCGCTCCGCAGCATGTGGGATCTTCCCGGACCGGGGCACGAACCCGTGTCCCCTGTATCGGCAGGCGGACTCTCAACCACCGCGCCACCAGGGAAGCCCGATCCACTTATTAAAAGCCATTTGGAGCTCTCCAAAGGGACTTTGTGGAATCAGCACCTGAGACGTTGTGGGCTTTGGGGGATCACATAGGGATATATACTGTCATGATACAGGGTAGGGGCCTCTCATCTAGTAAACATGTATTGAGGACCCACTATGTGCCAGGCACTGTGCCCCACCCTGTGAATATGCTGATAGAGACAAGGGGTGCCCTGTTGTCAAGGAGCCCATAAGGTGGTGAAGAATGGAGATGACAGATTGGACATAAAGGACAAGAGGTGTGGACACTAATAAGAAACAAAGTCAGTGGGATCCAGATGATAGAGCCTCATAATGAGTCCCGGGAACTAGCTGAGTCCTTACCAGTTTGTAGTATGATCTTGGGCAAGTCACGTAACTTCTGTGGCCTCAGTTTTTGCTTCTGTAAAATGGTAAAGATGATCTCTTGTATAAGAAGAATATGAAGTCAAGGATAGAAAAGCACCTTGCTTTCTTCAAAGCCCTCTGCGTTTGCTATAAAAATCCAAGATATCATTGATAGTTTAATAATAAAGTACTCTGATATCTAGATATCATTATTTATCAGTATATGGTAACAATGCCTGATAGTGTTTGTTTTTTTGTTTCAATCTGCATGTTTAAATTTTTTAATGGAGTACTGTTAGACAAAAGAATTTACTAGCCACATTTTTTTTGGTTTTTTTCATATTAACTTTATCTACACCAAGATCAAGTCATAAAAAATTGTCATGTCTATTATCATAGTAAAGAAGTAAGAAGTTTCTCATCAAAATATTAAGGTAGTGGTCTCCTACACCTCTGTACATTTATTAGGGCTTCTATATATTTAAATATTAATTTTGTTTCAGGATTAGATAGCTAGGGAATGGCAAAGCCATGAAATGGTATAATTTGCCCGAAAGATTAAGACTGATCTCAGCTCTAAGTCTAGGCCCTGGGCTGGCCCCTCAAAGCACTGTAAAGCCATCTTAAACTGAGGTGTTGCTTTCTCTTTTCCAGCTGAACTATCCCAAGCAATCAACAGTGGTACATTGTTATCAAAGCCGTCCCCACCTTTACCACCTAAGAGAGGCATTCCATCAACTTTGGTACCCACCTCAGAGTGTGCTGCTGCCACTGCCACCACCACAAAAGCACCAAGTGATCAGAAAGAGAAGAGCACATGCTCTGTGGGCTCCGAACCCCTGCTGATGATCCCCCCTACCGCCCCATCCCCCCCACTGCCTACTCATATACCTCCAGAACCCCCTCGGTCCCCTCCATTCCCTGCTAAGACTTTTCAAGTTGTGCCAGAAATTGAGTTTCCACCTTCCTTAGACCTACCCCAGGAGGTTCCCCAGCAGGAAAGTCAGAAAAGGGAAGTACCCAAGAGGATGTTGGACCACAGCTTTGGGGAGCCCCATGTACCCTCTAGGCTTCCCCAAGTCCCACTGCATATCCGAATCCAGCAGGCCCTGACCAGCCCACTCCCCATGACTCCTCCCTTGGAAGGCTCTCATAGAGCTCACTCATTGCTCTTCGAGAACAGTGACAACTTTTCTGAGGACAGCAGTACCCTGGGTCGGACCAGGTCACTTCCCATCACTATTGAAATGCTGAAAGTGTGAGTGCCTTTAAAGCTTGCTTCTTGTTCCCTCTTTACTGTAGCTAGTCCTTCTTGGAAAAAATTACTTATAGAGAGAAAATGTGAATAAATTTAAATTAAGAAGAATACTCAACAAATAGGACATGTTCTTGAATTTGAACTTTTACTCTCCTGATTTCTATAACATTGTTTCCATGGCAGAAATTTCCATGATGATACAAAAATTACAAACTTCTGTACTTGAAAATTAAAATCACTATGTATTTTTATATGATATACGGGAAGCAGTGTGACATGGTGCTTATGAACATTGACCTTGGAGTAAGATAGCTCTGAGTTCAAATCCCAGCTCCGCCTCTTATTTACTAGCGTGCAGTAGTGTATGTTACTTAATCTTCCTGCTCTTCAGTTGTCTAACCTGTAAACAGAAATAATACCTACCTCATAGGCTTGCGAGAATGAAATTAGACAAATCTGAAAGCTGTAGTGCCTGGCACAGAACCTGGTAGAGAGAGACAGAGAGAAGCCTAGAGAAAAAGAAGGGAGCTCTGAAAGATAGCTCAGTATTCCAGCCTCACAGACTGAAACTGCTCATCTTTTCTCTCCCTCATCTGTCCCCAGACACTCAATCTGTTCACAGTAGCATTGGTACTTATACCTATTTTGTCTGTCTTTTTAAAATTCAGACAAATTGTGACTGAAGATTAACACTTCTTGGCAAGTTGGAAATTTGTCTTACTAATAACTAAAAGAATTGTTATAGAGTGGTTGCAGTATCCTACTTTTCGGTTTTTTTGCCATAATCTTTTGTACTTCCTGGTATTATTTATTTCGCATCCTGGAAAGCGACAGTTTAGGAATTTGAAGTAGACTAAGTCATAGTTTTATGCCTCCAGAGTGTAAAGCAAAGAAGTTAGTTTTCATCCTTACTTCTCTTTGATTCCTTGGTTTAGGAAATGGGTTAAATATTTTTATTGAGTATCTTCCATGAGCCAAGTATTGTGTTAGATGCTGTGTGATCTTCTCATTCAATCAGACCAAGGCAAACTTGCATTTTATATATTGATCATCAGGGCCCTATGTGCAAGACACTAGTGCATTCTAGAATTTGTCTATTTCATTCTCAGAACAAGCCAACAAGGTAGGTATCATTCACATTTACAGAAAAATTAAATAACTTAACAAGCTAGTAAATAAGTTGTAGATCTGGGATTTGAACCCAGAGCCGTTTAGATTAATAGCTGCTAAAAAGTTTCTTAGCAAGAATGTAAAAATTAAGGGAAATGACTATAAATTATTTCATTCATGGACTTTTTCATGGTTATTCAGTAGTTTGCCTTGCAAATCAGTTATTCTTTATGTCTCTGAAAGGAAAACGTAAAATGTAATTATGTTAATTTGTTAGTCCAGACGATGAAGAAGAGGAGGAGCAGATCCACATATTTGCATTCAGCGCAGATGTAGCATCTACCTCAGTCATTCCTAAACTACCGCAGTGTCTGCAGGAGGAAGAAGAAGGGAAAGAGAGCGTA